CTCAGAATTGCTGTCAAAAGACGCATGAGTGGGCTCGGCGGTCCACGTAAATCCTGAGCATGGCTGGGACCGTTGCTCGGAGCTGGCTCAAGTTAAGCGCAATGGCTTTGAGACGGCTTACACGAGCCGTGCCACAAATAGGCTCTCGGTTGGATTTAAGTGAAGGATGCCTCTGACCTGGGCCACACAGCCACGTCCATGGCCAAGCAAATTACGAGTCACTGGAGGAAGTACATTTATATACCGCGGTGTGTAAAATTGGCCAGACGGCTTCAGCGGTCAACCAAGGGACTCACATTCGGAAGGTTGCGAGTTGTCCTATGAATCAGGGCTCGCTCCTGCCGTAGGAATTCGGAACTTTCACGCCACTTGCTCAATGCTGTAAACACGAGATGAGGCGAGATTCCTTTGACTTTTTTTATTATTTTGCAATAATTCAGATGCTGCCCCGTCACTACCAGATGGCTTGTCATGATTCGCCCCCGTTAGCCACATGATAAACTGTCATTCAAATTTCTATTTAAAGCTTTCGTGACTGCAGGGATTAATATTCTTGGTTCTTTTGGTAAAGTCACGTAGAAGGGAAATAATAAAAATAAAACAATAAAATTCTCACGACGTTTCGATTACAACACAAGCAATCATCATTAGGTGTGAAACAACCACAGCTGTAACTCCTTGTGTTTTTTTCACACCTGATGCGATTGCTTGTGTTGCAATCGAAACGTGAGAATTTTATTGTTTTATCTTATTATTTACCTTCTACGTGACTTTACCGAAAGAACCAAGAATATGTCCTCATTCAGTTTGGAGGAGGGGGGGGGGGGAATTAAAATGTTTGAATGTGATGGATCTTGCGTCCTCCGGGGGCCGTAGGGCTCACGTTACACAACGCGCCGGTTAAATACATGCGTGTAATTAAATTAATGTGTCGCGAGATACAGCAATGAACACACCATGCCTGTCAACCCCTTGTTAGTGCCCTACCTTATGACAGACCAATTCAGACCTTATTGGGTCACCCTGTGCCCCTTATAAATCTCAACGCTCATCCTACAAAAGTCCCTTCCATAAGGGAGAAACACAAAAACATGTTTGCCCGTATTTTAAACGGCTTTTCGCCGGATGGACCTGAAAACTCAATTTCCCCGTACAAGAATGTGGGTTGACAGGTATGCAACACTATCTTCATCCATGACGAATCGGGGCACAACACTCGGGATAAGCCACTTTCAGCCATGGGAATCTCAACAACAAAAAAATATAATTTGCCTGAGCGTATAATTTCACTGGCTGATAGGATGTGTAAAAAAAAAACAATTGTTTTAATACCGTGGTAGATATTGCCTGGTTTCGTTGTATCTATTCACGCCGGCGCCAATGAGCATCGTCTCGTGATGATGGCTCGCATCACCGCCTTGGTGGTCACTGATTTCGGTGGCCGTATGAAACGTCTACAGTGGCGAGAGTCGTCGTGATGCGGGATCATTGGTCACGATGACGGTCATTACTCATGACCCCCCCAATTCTTCTCGGCAGTTGTGTGAGCGATGGCTCCGTATCCAGAGGCGACGAGTCAAACGTGCTGGTGAATTTATCACCGTAATAAGTAATATTTTAACAAAAAATTTTTTTTTCTTAAACAAGCTTTTATGAAATGTACTAGTAATGGCAGAACCGCACGTGGCCCCGAAGCTTGCCATAACGTAGCGTGGACAATTAGACCCAAGCCGAAACATCTTTAAAAGGCATTTTTTGTCTGTCTGTCCGTCTGTATACGCTCGCTTGCGAGGGATTTGGCTCTCTAACAGAGGGGTTTACGTCGAAAAAAAATTGCCGGGCGACGCGCGCTAAGCCCCGTGCTTGGCATAGGCTATTCCGTTTTCCCATCCCAAAACTTAAAAGTGGTTTAATTAACGATTTAGTGCGATGCATCTTTATCTATTTATTTATGCCGCCCGGCTCGCTGCTGCGCATGCGCGAAACGCCGACACGAGTTGCCCCTGGCAACGCGCTCACGCCGGTAAATTCATCAAAGCGTCACGTCCTGTTCTCTCCCCCTCCACCCCAATGTGTGTACTAACTATTATAGGCTCGGTAAACACTAAAATTATAGCGATTAAATAGTATTATTTTGGCGCGGCGGGGGGGGGGGGGTGTAGCGGCCCAGCCCCCAGCCTCGGCCGGCCGGGCAATCTAGGCGAGGCCGGGGGCTCTCCACGGGACTAGGCCTTGTCACGGCACTCTGTCATATGAGTACTTTGTGCTATAGAGTCGATATATACTGCTACTATCGGGAAAATATATATTTTTAAAAACGTCTGAAAACTTACAAATATAACATACAAATGAAAAGATAACTCATTATTTTAAATTAAATAAAACCCGAGCGCGCCAAGAATCGATTATTTAAATCGCGCAAAGGAATCGAAAGTTGTAGATTACTTAAGAATAGTCTTGAGGCGACGACGCGCAACAGAAACATCCTCTAGATCAGGGGTCACCAAACTTCTTTCACAGCGGGCCGGATAACTGATAGAATGACGATCGCGGGCCGCATAAATATTCTGTTCAATACTTAGGGGCGGGAAAGATGTGTATTTGTGTGTGTTGCCATGGAAACCATGGTAACGTTGCCATGACGTTGCCATGGAAACCATGGTAACGTGTTGCCATGACGTTGCCATGGAAACCATGGTAACGTCAGAGCGTAGGCGGAGCTACCATGAGCCGGGGAAGTACTTGGGATGGCGCGAAATAAGCAAACATTACAATAAACAAGAAAATCTAGATACAATAATTTAAAATTTAAAATAGTAAATTTAAGGCACATAGCAGTAAGGAGGTCTCCGCACGCGTGAAAATATCCTAGTATTCTAAACATAATATTTAAATTGTATTACGTCTCGTGTTCCATACGTTTTATCAACCAAATTCAAGTACCGTCGGCGGGCCTGATGGACTGACGTCGCGGGCCGGATCCGGCCCCCGGGCCGTAGTTTGGTGACCCCTGCTCTAGATAAACCAGCAAATCTTAAAAAAAAAAACGTATTACAACGCTGTGCTCAAATAACAACCATAAAATAGATTAACCATGTTTTCTAAATCGCCAAAATACAGCTATAAAAACAGTAATCATAGGAACTGTGATTCTCATTCAACAATAAACGATATAAATAACATGTACGACCAAACTACCAGCCATAGCTGGCAACATGGCACTCCCAGTGTATGATGTGTGAGTGAGTCAGTGGTAGTGTGAGTGTATGATGAGTGAATTAGTGTATGATGAGTGAATGGGTCAGCATGTACTACTGTAGTGAAAGCTGTAATCATACCAGGAATCACCATAGTCGGCATGCAATGCTGTAGTCAAAGCAGGATACCACCACAGTCAGCATGCAATGCTGTAGTCATAGCAGGATACCACCACAGTCAGCATGCAATGCTGTAGTCAAAGCAGGATACCACCACAGTCAGCATGCACTGCTGTAGTCATAGCAGGATACCACCACAGTCATTATGCAATGCTGTAGTCATAGCAGGTACCACCACAGTCATTATGCACTGCTGTAGTGAAAGAAGGTACCACCACAGTCAGTATGTACTGCTGTAATCATAGCAGGTACCACCACAGTCAGTATGCACTGCTGCAGTCATAGCAGGTACCGCCACAGTCAGTATGCACTGCTGTAATCATAGCAGGTACCGCCACAGTCCGTATGCACTGCTGTAGTGATAGTAGATACTGCTATATAGTTAGTAGATACGAAAACAGTCATTATATACCACTACAGTCAGTAAATACTGCTACAGTAAGTAGATACTACTATACAGTCAGTAGATACTACTACGGTCATTAGCTAATAGTCAGTAGATACTACTATAGAGTAGATACTGCTATAGAGTTAGTAGATACTATAGTCAGTGGATACTACTATAGAGTCAGCATATACTATGATAGAGTTAGTTGTTACGACTATAGAGTCGGTAGATACAACTGTAGGGCCAGTAGATACTATGGTCAGTAGTTACTACAGTCAGTAAATACTACTAAGCAGTCAATAGCTACTACTGGCTGAGTAGATACGACTATACAGTCAGTAGATACAACTACAGAGGCAAGAGATACTTACTCTGTTGTATGTAGGGTGTGTAGGTATATATACCTACGTGAGGGTCAATATATTTTTTGAGGGGGAGGTGGGTCGACAATTTTCGGAAACATTTTAGATCAACTATTTACCCCCCACTTTCTATAACTTTTTGGACTTGTGCAAGCCTCTTATAATTTTGTTGGTGGAGATATGGACAAACGGCCCACCGGGCTTTCACAATACCTTAGTATGTGTGTATGTATGTTAGGTTTTTAAGAGAAGTTTTGAAATATATTTTTTATGATAGATTATAGTATTGTCATCAGTATGACATTAGTATACCAAGTTTGCAGTCCATACCACATTGAGGAGTGGGATAGAATCGAGTTAAAAGATTTGAGGATACAACAACAACAGAGTGAGTTAAATGAAAGCGTGTAAATAAACCACGGCACCACCACGCAAAATGTCACCTAGCCGTTGCCTGGCGATGACGTCATTTGTCAAACGCCCGCGATGACGCCACGCGCTTACGTCTTGAGCCGAGGCGCGACACGACGTCACGTCTACGGCGTGCTCGCGCGATGACGTAACCGGCCCGCGCCGACGCGCGATTCACGCGCCAAACTCTCCAACCCACCCTCGTCCCGCGGTGACGTCACCAAGCCGACCAATCAGACGCGGCCAAGTCACCCCTCGGACCGCGCGCGCCGCATTCGGGCCGCGCGCGCGCGGTGAGGTTCCCCCCCCCCGCCGCGCATGCGCGAGGACGGCCCCGACGCGCGAGCGGCGCATGCGCAGTTGCGGTTTCTCGGGCGTGAGTGCCACGTCCCCCCCCAGCCCCGCCCTTCGGCCCCCCCCGCCCCTCGCCCTCCCCCGCCCCCTGACCCCACTTCCCCCCGCCCGTCGCCCCGCCCCGCCCTCTCCGGCTCCTCCATCTCGTCTCGGCGGCCGCTGCTCTGCTCCACTCTTGCTCGCCCGCTCCGCCCTCGCTCCTCTGTTGCTGTCGTTGCCTCCCGCCGTCCGACATGAAGCTGCTGCCCTCGTTGCTGCTGCTGGCGGCCGCCTGCGTGGCGAGATCGTACGGCGAGATCAAGGAGGAGGAGGACGTTCTCGTGCTCACGGGCGCCAACTTCGCGGAGGCCCTCAGCGCGCACCCGGCCATTCTCGTGGAGTTCTGTGAGTGGACGGCTCGCGTGCCCTCACCGCTCTCTGTTCACCTCACGTTGACTGGCCCGTGTCGCCTCACTCTCCTCCTATCGCACATTTTCACACCTACTGGCACACCTCCTCGCTCTGATCTGCTCGCATCTCCTCGCCTCACAAACCCTGACCTGGCCTCTTCTGACTTGGCATCGCCTGACATCGCCTGTCGTGGTGTGGCAGAGTTGGGCCTCACTCCGCCGGGCCTCGATGGTGATTTGAGCTGAGCGCTCTTTCTTTGGCTTTACCTGGCGTGACATAATCGCACGTGGCATGACCCCAGACCATCGCTTGGGACAATTTTGCTCCTTAGCAAACCTGGTCTTGTCTTGGTTGGACATGGCTCCAATGTTAGCTGTGATTGGATATTTGGCCTGACCTGCGAATGATCAAACCTAGCCTGATCCGGACCTTAGATGACCTCGTACAATCTTGAATTAAAATTTAAATCTTGACTTAAAGCTTTTGTGACTTCAGGAGTTCATATTTTTTGGGGCATTCGGTAAAGTCACGTAGAACGTGACTTTACCGAAAGACCCAAAGAATATGACTAAGTACAATTTGTCGTGACCCTGTTTTCGGCTAGTAATTGCTTAACTTTTTGAGTTTGACCTGACCTGGTAATCATCTAGCCTGACATGTCCCTGATCTTAACTGATGTGATCTACATCATGGGATCTCCCATGATGTGATCTAACTCAATCAGTGCAAGACCCACCAAACTTTAGTGGTGATCTGATCTGACCTGACCGAGATACCCATGTCACCAGATCTCCCTCATTCTGGCCTCACCAGCCCCGATCACGGACCAGTTGCACAGAACAGCTAAAGTTGCACTGCTTTATAATTTAAATCGGATTTAGTTAAATGGATGGGTGGAAAGGTCACTTAACATGTTCCATGCAACCAGCCAATGATGCACGTCCCCTGTGGTATGTGCTATGGTGGAGATCAGCATCATGGACCCACCTGTGAGTTGGGTAACTCACCTGTGGGTGATGAACTCACCGATGGTAGATTAGCTAACCTGTGTGCTCTAACTCTCCTGTGAGCCAATTAACTCGCCAGAGTTCATTATGACACCTAAATAAGACCAAATAATTGATTATAACTCCACTTTGGGGTTATCCACTGACCTGTGGGTTGATTAACTCATCAATGGTTTGAGTTAGTTCACCTGCAATCAGGATCACCCATCTGTAGGTTTATTATATTCCTTAGCTGGCCTGTGTTTGGATAACTCGCCTGCGAGCACGGTAACTTACCGTAGGGGCTGGTTAACATTTTGCAGACCGCTAAACCCGCCCCAACTCGTCAATCAAAGCCGCCTCCTGCCTCACCCAGTGACCAAAGTTCCAAATCAAGGCGTGGAGGCGTCATAACTACAGGCGAAAATGAAGCGAGGCTGCAGCGAGGCAGGATTGAATTAAATGTGCGTGTTTTGGGTCCACGTTTGTTTCTGAAGCGATTCTCATTGACAGGCAGAAGAGTCTGGCAGCAATCAGCAGTGCCAGTGCACAGAGTTTACTCGCCGAGGGCCCTACGTGTGGGGTGGAGGGGCTACCCGTGGGTGGTGGTGACACGTTGACCAATGCCTAATTTGCATTCCATGAGACGGGAAGAGACGTTGGCGACTGGTTTGACTGGTGTGGAGCAGGCAGGGTCGGTGGTGAGGGAAGGATATGTGTGAAGGTAGTTGCGGAGGAAATCGGAGGTGTGTGCGTGGAAAGGTGACAAGGTGAGAGAAGTGTGGGAGTGTGAAAGTTGGGGAAGAAGTGTGGAAGGGAGGTTTGATGAAGGCGCAAAGGAGCTATGAATGAGAGTTGTGTGGAAAGTGGGGGTTTGAGCGTTATTTGGAAGATGTGAGAGAAGTTACAGGTGTGGAGAAAAGTTAGGCAGGTGAGAGGGGGAGATGAGATATGGTGAGATTGATGCTCTGTCTCCCTATAAAGTTTATTACCGGAAGAGTTCCTAGACAAGGGTGCAACACATGAAAACCTCGGGAGAAGTTGGGGGGAAAGGCGGTCGTGGGGCAGGAATTTTCTCGGGAAGGAGATTGCCGAGATGTTTAGATGCACGTACAGCTGGGTCGCGTCAAGCAGCAGGGGAGGGGTGGGTTTCATCCGTGCAATAATTACACAGAGGCCCCAAAAAAAGCCTCTGACACATTCACCAGGCAACACGTAATTACTCTACTTGTGCAATATCCAGGGTTCGCCGTCGAAGCCGCGCAATTATTCTCGGCGATTGCAGCCATTGTTGCAGGGGCGAGTTACACGTGGCGTGCTTTTACTTGTTGCGTTTGCAGGAAGCTTCCGTGTCCTGCTGCACGTGTTGTGTAACCCCTCCCTCTGCTGCAGACCTCGATGAATCGCGATGGATGGCGACGTGGCGTTGTATGTCGGTTGAGTGCCACGCAGTTTGGCTTGCCGCAGATTTGCGCAGGGGACTGTAAACAACACAGCTTGGAGGGCGGTTGATTTACCCAAAGTAGAGACCAATCTCAGGCGACGTATGTTGGCACTTCCTAGAGTCGCGACGCTCTGTCCCCTGTGCGGATGTGTTGGGGTGACCCTGACACAAGCTCCACGTCACCCGGCTGATACTGGTGCAGGCCACAGATGCTGTTTCACCCTTAATCTGATGGCTGCACTGCAGCTGCAAAGGGCATTTGGCCCACAGTCAACCCTAAATTATCTGTGGGTGGCTTATCCTGGTTGCGGATTATCCGAGTTACAAACAAAATTGTTTCGTAAATCTTAACGGCCACGCTGGTTTAATTATTAGCGGCTCCTATCTTCAAGGGTCAGGATTTTACCATCTTGTTGGAAAGTAAGCTGATTACTTAAAAGTGCATTAAAACCAAGTGAACATTGTCTTTCACATTTTGCGTAGGTAAATGACAGATTGTTTTGCATTTTACATGCTTTTATTTTATCTGGGTTACCCCCCCCCCCCCCCCCCCCCCCGCATTAACCCGCAGAATTGAGATTTGGTTATTTGCATTAAATCAAATAACCCTGTTATAACTCATAACCTAATTCAAATTGAGCCCAGTTTACCATACACCGGAGATTTCCTGGGAATGTCATGTGTTATACACAAGGTGACCAGATGAGTGTAGCAATGGGTTCTTGAAGCCACGTGTGGACATTTGAGTGGTACCCTCTTGTATGCGTGGGTGTTTTGGTAATTGGTTTCCTACCACATTAAACATCGCAGGGGCCCTCCGGTCAGAGTCTTGGTGATCAGTCTTTATTCTGACGGTCGGACTCTGGGTGTGATTGGGGTCCCCAGCTGCATGAACATTCGTCTCTAATGGACTCAAATATTGATACCGCATTTGCTTTTCTTTTTTAACACCGGTCTTGTAGCAAAACCAGTTTTACTTTACCAGTTTAAGCTAGTGTCCCTTCTGGAGATTGGAGATTGGTCCGAGGGATGGGCTTATAGTTGTAAACGTTATACCTTGGGGCCTTAAATCTTTTGAAGTCAACAGAATTGAATACCATTGTAGGTGGTTCTGTATGGCTTTTAAAGCTGCCACAGTGTAAAGCGTGTTAGCAATTTCTCGACTACCTACACTGAAGATGGGCCATTGCCTGAAACATCATGCTTGTACATGTATTTATAATAAGGCAGTGTTAATGTACTCTTTAGCAATGTGGTCTACTGGTATATGGCACTTGTCTTTGTCTTTTGTGTAAACACCCCTGACTTGCGGGGCCTGCAACTTGGGGCCTATGACGTGTCCCGGGATGTGGTTTTCTTAAGCCCATTAAACAAATTTGTTCGCTTTCACATGTGGACCGCGACGAATTATAATTTTCATCCTTTGATATTTAATTTTGTATTAACTTGCAGGTTTATATAAAGCCAGTGATATTTATTTTTTCTATTAATATCCTGGTTTTTTTACCCCCCCCCCCATCGGCCGTGCACAGCTTGCAGTGATTACTCGTCCAGCTGGAAAATGCAGCCCATTCAAAACAAGTTTGTTTGCCCCTGGTCCCTTAGCCCCACCGCACTGTACCGTGGTGTCTTGTTAACACAACTTGCTGTGCACTGGACCTAAGGCCCAAAATGCCAAAGATCCAGCGACAAACAGAACAGTTATAATAGATAAGAGTTAATATGGTCCATTGTAATTTTTGGGTTGTGCCACATGGTAGTTGTATGCCAAAATTAATGTTATTAGCTGTCCACCACCTGACAAGATTTCCACATTTTATCTATACGTGCCAATGATTTTATCAAACTTTGACCAATATAGTTCCTCACCGGTGGCTTAAGACTGAGTTAAGTTCACTGGAGTGATAACCATGGTAGTAATGGGAGACGAGTGAGGAGCCAACTGATCACCGGTGACCCAAGTGACTAGTAAATTATTTAGTGCTGAATCCTCAACCAGAAAGTTGCTTTCTCGCGTTGATGTGGAGGAACCCGCACCTATGACCGCTAATGACGCCGGCGCTGTCGCTTTCGCCAAAGATGCGCCATGGTGCGGCCACTGCAAGGCCCTGGGACCTGAGTTTGCCAAAGCGGCCGGCACACTAAAGGCCGAGGGCTCAGCTATCCGGCTGGGCAAGGTCGACGCCACGGAGGAGACCGAGTTGGCCAAGGAGTACGGCGTGCGCGGCTACCCGACCATCAAGTTCTTCAAGGACGGTGACGCAAAGAACGCCAAGGAGTACGCAGGTGAGCACGGGTTGCTGCTGCATCAAGGCGCACAAGTGCCTTCGTGCGTGTGCCTACGTTTGTATCTTTTGCCGATATTCGCTGATGACATTGGTTTGTGTTCTTCACGTTTAGAACATTTGTCGCATAAACCTCTTCGAGAATTGTCATTGTTCACCCGAAATTTCAATGGAGACATTTAAGCAATCCACCACACGTATCTAATATGGACATAGACGTGTAATTTTTTTCTATTCATCTAGATATGCGCAAGAAGACGAGTGTGTCAATGACACGGGGGGCGGTGGCACAGAGGCTAGCACAGTGCGCTTCAAACTCGGCAGCCTTAGTTTGATTTCTGGGTGTCTGGCCATGTTGGACGTGGCAGTGGGCTTAGTGTGCGGTTGTGTGTGGTGAAGCTGGGCGGCAGGCGGATGACATCGTGAACTGGCTAAAGAAGCGCACGGGGCCCTCCGCCACCACTCTGGATGACGCCGCTGCCACCGCCAAGTTCATCGAGTCGGCCGAGGTGGTGGTCGTCGGCTTCTTCAAGGTACTGCCCCCCCCCCCGCCCCTCCTTTCCTCCTCCCCACCCGCTCTCACCACCATCATCATTGCTCTGATTATTCTGGAAATAAACTGCCGTTTTCCCGCAACAGCGTTCCATGCAACGCCATTGTCCTTGGAGGAACTAAACCTGCTCGTGGCTGTCCAGCAATCCAGAGCAACTTGGTTCATAACCGATTTTGAAACGTTGTGGTGATGATGGTGTTGCACAAGCAACATGCGCACTGATTGTTTGCACGGGTGTCATGTAGTGATCCTGGAATCCTGGTCCAATATGGCGACTAGGAGATGTTTGATACCAAACCAGATATCTCTCCTTGTGAAGGTAATGAATACACTTTAGGTATTCTCTTTTTCTTTTTTCCACTTTTTTTCCTATCATTTATATTTCACTGTAGGCCGATCTGGTGCATTTTCTTGCCACAGACGTGGAACGTGAATGCGTTTGATGGCTCGGTAACAAGCAATCACGTAGCTCAATAGGAGCTATGTAGTTGCATGGTTCCCATGGCACACGCAACAGTGAAGTTGTGTGCGAGAAATCTGCACCAATGGACTCCAACGACTCAAATGTCCCCCTCAGGTGACGGCGGAGTCGGTGCATGGGATTAAAAATTAAACCATGTACAAAAACAAAACAAAAATAGAACATAAAATACAAATATTTAAATGAAGCATATTTGGAAGGACACTTTCTGAGATTTGGATACTCTCATTTGCAAGCGTGACCCGGGACATTAGTCTGTCAGTAGGGGGCCATGATATCTAGGTATAATCCCAATAAAGTAGTTTGCCTGCATAAGGTACAGGACATGTTGAGTTAAGTTGCCCACTGTAATTGGACTGAGAAGGGGGAGTTGTGTGCAAACGATTAAACGGTGCGGTGCTGTTCCTGCCGCCATCGTGGAGTGTGGTGCCGTATGGACGCGAGTGTGGTCTGTGCTGTGTGGTTGTGGCACTTCGCTGTCACGGTGCAAGTGGGGTAATGTGAAACCATGATGAGTTGTAGGTGTGAGCTGTGTTGGAGGAAGCCCTGTTGCGTGGGTGTAACCCGTGTTGCGTTTGTGACCCGTGTGCGTACTCGAAGCGCGTGTGAGCTGTGTTTTGGCGGTGGTGGGAGAGAGTGAGCCGTGATGTTGTCGTGCTGTGGTGGTGTTCCCCCACTCAGGATGTGGAGGCTGAGGATGCTAAGGTGTTCCTCAAAGCGGCCGACGGAATCGACGATATCGCCTTCGGCCTTGCGTCATCAGACGACGCCTTCACGCAGTACGAGGTGTCCAAAGAAGGCGTCATACTCTTTAAGAAGGTGTGTACCCCCTCGCTTCCCCTCGCTGGCCCCCACCCCGCCGCCACTGCTCAGGCTGTGCCGGGTTGCACGTAAACACGTGTGCCGTCCTTGGCACGAGCTCACGGCTGTAAATCTTGCATCAACGACGTGGCTGAAGCGCCTCGAAGCGTGCCGGGGAGTGCTGTGCTGCAAGGAGACTCGTCTTGTTTCTCGTTTGAGGGCTTTCGTGGAAGAACCTGATAACTCGCACATGTGTATTTTAAAGATAACTCGTGCTGGCTTCATTGGAAGACTTTACAAGGCACTTTTAATAGTTAATATCGCATCATCTGCCCGCACAATGGCTGTTCAGTTTTCTTATGCTCAACAAAAGCCTACTGTATACATGAAGATATGTTGTGTGTTATCTAGTTTTTCCAGGACAACCCCTTTGGCACTCTGCATGCATGGCCGCATGACTTGTAAGCGTTGGCACTCCACAGCAATTTCCTGCTCTTCCACGTGCTCGCTGCGTTGCTCGCTTCCCGCTCGGGAGGCTCTCCTGCTTGTGCCCCCCCGTAGCTCCACTCTTCCTCCCCATGGTTCTGCTCGTTTCTTCTCGTTGTCCCTGGCCGTACGCACGCGCGCTCGTTGCAGGATGGAGGTGTGAGCATGAGGGTGGGCGCTCGGCAACCCCTCTCATTCCCTGCCCCCACCCCGGCATCTCGGCTTGAGCTCATGCTGATGCGAGTGTGGTATTTATACTGCGCGTGTGGCCACAGTGAAACTGATTTGTGGCGTGAATGTAGCGAGCTAACTGGCCTACGTAGCTCGTGATGCGCGCTGCTATTTTGGGGCTGCTGCCATCACTGCACACAACTTCTTTTGGTAACAACGCGACACATGGGGTCATGGCGACGCAATGTCTTCAAGATTTTTGATGCCTAGGCTTTTAAAGCCACGTAAATTTTGCGGCCAAATTTGTGTGATGAAAGACCATCCGCCACCTAAGACGCCAAACAAATGTAATTGTCAGGTGTACAAGTGTTTGATGTGCCAATTATTAATGTGTCAACTCACCGGTAAATTGAAGAACCGTTGTCACAACTCCATATAGCAATTAGATACACGACGTTTCGCTTAAGACTACATCCAGTATCCGCAGGAAATGAGAATAAAAAAACGAAGAAGTCATAATGCGTAAAGATGAGTTTTAAAGATCGCTTTTCCTGCATGGCGCTCGTGTCTTCTGCTGGTGCCGCCACGCAGAATTCCAGTCATATGAATTGTCGCGTCGCGAGCTGCGTCTGACGTGCCGTTGCGTCGCGGGCTTTCCAGTTCGACGAGGGCCGGAACGTGTACGAGGGCGAGCTGAGCAAGGAAGGCCTGCGCAAGTTCGTCAAGTCCAACGAGCTGCCTCTACTCATCGAGTTCACCGAGCAGGTGCGAGGCGATGACACCCGCCGGTCGCGGACGGCGATAACGGCACCACCTACCCGACCCAAACCACCCCCCCACCACACACCGCCCTTCCGTCAACCTAATAGCAGTGCTGCTGCTACACCAGGGCGACCATCAACTGCAGTGCCTTTGATATCAGCACAGGGTGATGACTTGCTTAGTATGGCAATGGCATAGAGAGTTATCGAGCCACCTTGGGAGAAAAAAAATCGGAGTATAGTTTAATAGTGTTAAATGAGTGACGATTGGTCTGCAGAGCGCACAGCCTCATCTAGTCATGTGACCTCTTTGGTCCGGGTGGAATTTCCATCCCATTTGGCCACTCACCAGAGGGGAGCAGCGATCAGATTTGTCCAGATTGAGCAAATGCATCTGTTGCAGCAATTGTGCATTGGCCAATGCTGGTGAGGGTTGCTCTCGGTTAATGGAGGCTCAACCTCCATAGTGACAACTCCCAGGGTGGTGTCAGCACCGATCACTGCATCGTGGCCACATATATACGCAGTTAAGTTGGCAGTGAAGAGCACCATCGTATTGCACGTTTAATTACAGCTGCTCGCCGCCTGTTTAATTACAACTTCTAAAAAGATGAGCACCCATGGATTCCGTTTTTGTTTGCGAGTCACAAACCGTTGCCAAGAGATTGGCTAAAAATAGCGGAACTCGAACGGCGGAGCTGGCGGTGGTGTGGGGTGGAGGGGGGGGGAGTTAGGATGCATGATTCGCTGCGTCGTTTACAAGCGTCTGGAGCCTTCGCTGCACGGCCCGTGGAAGGTGTCGCCGTCACCCTGAGTGGGGCAGATTCCTTGCTGTCCCTGACCCCTGCGGCGTATGCATGCCACTTGGCGCGTTTGTGCACCCAGCTCCCCGGTATTCACTGCGTGGAACCCCCGCTCCCGAGAGCGCTGCTCGCGACGTTTTGGTTCGACTAGAAAAGCCGGACACGGTCCAAAATGACAAACATGTCTTCCTTGGTAGCTACCCACGGGCAGGTAATGACAAGTGCATTAAAATCAGTTCTTGCGCTCATGGTACGTGTATCCATTCATGTGCGTGCAAGAATGATTGATAAAAAAAATTGCGCGAATGAGATGCCCATCTTACGTTCAGGCTAGCGGAGCAAGAGAAAAGAGGCTGACGTACACAACGAGACGCAAAATTATTTGTACTGGAATTGTGACGTCAAATAACCGCGAGGGAGGGCTTCAATAGTTGCGGGCCTAGTGATTCCACTCTTGATCTGGGACGATTCAATTACCTGACGATTAAAACATTTAATCGGCTTTCTCCCATTCTGTCGAACAGAGAGTAATACAGAATGAACTCGGTCCCTTTTTTAAATTGGTTGCAGGAAAAGCATTTATTAACATAAATGTCTCCTGTGTTTTCAATGCATTGCGACTTTGACCGGACACGGTGGATGTCTGCCCTGCCTCGTTGGCTCCAAACGCCACGTGGAAAGCCGGAGCCAACCATTTAAAAACAAAATTGCTCTCGCTGCACTTTGGCCGGCAGTATTCGCTCCTGACTTCTCCTGCCATCCCGTCTGAGCCGAGAGGTGAGCAGAGGCTTTGCACGCGCTTACCGTTTACACGCTCCTACCGTTTACACGCACCTACCGTTTACACGCACCTACCGTTTACACGCTCTTACCGTTTACACGCACCTACCGTTTACACGCTCTTACCGTTTACACGCGCCTACCGTTTGGACGCGCCTACCGTTTACACGCTCCTACCGTTTACACGCGCCTACCAATTGGACGCGCCTACCGTTTACACGCTCTTACCGTTTACACGCACCTACCGTTTGGACGCGCCTACCGTTTGGACGCGCCTACCGTTTGGACGCGCCTACCGTTTACACGCTCCTACCGTTTACACGCGCCTACCAATTGGACGCGCCTACCGTTTACACGCTCTTACCGTTTACACGCACCTACCGTTTGGACGCGCCTACCGTTTGGACGCGCCTACCGTTTGGACGCGCCTACCGTTTACACGCTCTTACCGTTTGGACGCGCCTACCGTTTGGACACGCCTACCGTTTGGACGCGCCTACCGTTTGGACGCGCCTACCGTTTGGACGCGCCTACCGTTTGGACGCGCCTACCGTTTGGACGCGCCTACCGTTTGGACGCGCCTACCGTTTATACGCACCTACCGTTTACACGCTCCTACCGTTTACACGCTCCTACCGTTTGGACGCGCCTACCGTTTACACGCGCCTACCGTTTGGACGCGCCTACCGTTTGGACGCGCCTACCGTTTACACGCGCCTACCGTTTACACGCTCCTACCGTTTGGACGCACCTACCGTTTACACGCGCCTACCGTTTACACGCGCCTACCGTTTACACGCTCCTACCGTTTGGACGCACCTACCGTTTACACGTACCTACCGTTTGGACGCACCTACCGTTTGGACGCACCTACCGTTTACACGCGCCTACCGTTTACACGCGCCTACCGTTTACACGCTCCTACCGTTTGGACGCACCTACCGTTTGGACGCGCCTACCGTTTACACGCACCTACCGTTTGGACGCACCTACCGTTTGGACGCGCCTACCGTTTGGACGCGCCTACCGTTTGGACGCGCCTACCGTTTGGACGCTCCTACCGTTTACACGCGCCTACCGTTTGGACGCACCTACCGTTTGGACGCGCCTACCGTTGATATGCGGCTTGCCTACCGAGTACATGCCACGTGCCTACCGATTACACGCGTCTACCATTTACGTAATATCTCGTTTGTACCTTGCCCCATATTGTTCGTCTCTCCCATACTTTTTGTTGTTGTTTTTGTGCTGTTATTTTTGTGCACTGTTGTGCTGCTCATTGTGTACTCCTCCCGTCTTGTGCCGTCTACTCTTGTTTTCTACTCTCTTCTCTTGTGGTCTATTTTTTTTACTTTCTTGTACTTTCTCATATGTGCGGTCTCGTCTGTGGCATATTTTTTTGTAATTTATTCATCTATGCTGGAATTTTCGTCCCATTTGGTTAATTCGGTTCTGGGTCCATCAAATAGCCCATCCACATGTGCCGCATCATTCCGGACAACTTTTGCATGGCATTGCCATGAACCTTGAATGTCGTTTGTTGAATTGGATATACAGTGGTCCCTCGTTTATCGCAGGGGATACGTTCTAAAAATAACCCGCAATAGACGAAATCCGTGAAGTAATCAGCTTTATTTTTTACAATTATTATACATGTTTTAAGGCCGTAAAACCCCTAACCACACAATTTTATACACTTTTCTCAGACAGGCATTAACATTTTCTCACATTTCTCTCTTATTTAAACACTCTCAAAGTTCAAACTTTCGCAGATTAAAAAAAATAAGTACAATATTAGTAAATGAAACCAAAGATCAAAACCTGTTTTCAAGCCCAAACATTTTTGTAAATCTGGCTAGCCGAACGCATTCTGTACTCCCTTAGCTAATCAGGACGCACAACACATGTGCGGTTCTCCCTTAGCCAATCAGGACGCCGAACACAATGCGCGTTCATACTGTACGAAGGAAAAAAAAGCATGCAAAATGGCACAAAAAAATCCGCGAAACAGCGAGGCCCGCGAAAGGTGAACCGCGTTATAGTGAGGGACAACTGTAATCAATTTGCTGAGCGAGGGGTTTGCGTGCACCGTTGGATTTGAGTCGGATCAATTTCATCGGTGCGTTGATCCGACCGTCTTGTAAATTAGAAAAATCCTAAATTCGAGCCCAGCTTTAAAATGTTACACGATCGAGTTTTTTGTTTGTTGTTGTTTGGGATTGTTCAGAAAAAAACGAGATCACGGAAAGTGATGTCACTGGACTTTTTTAGTGTGATAACACGTTACATTGTTACAGAGTGTAAATATAAAATTATTCATCAGAAACTCATCGCTTGTGTCGATAGCGAAAACTAAACACGTTTGTCAATGACACTATAGCCTTAAAAAGAAAACAAAACTATCATGGGCGATATTTCGTGCAATGGCCCGTTTTCATTGCACATTATTTATAAAGCTGCTTTTCCTTTATGTCAATCGTTTGCCTGTGCGGTTCATTAAATAACACGCTGCGTGGGATAACCACCGTGCACCGGAGCAGAGGAATACGTTGCACATCCAGCCCCCCCCCCCCCCCCCCCCCCCGTTAGTGTGAAGCAGCGCCACAGCGCGAGTGCGCGTCACACCTGGCCTCTGGAGCCTGGCGCGGCGTAGGCACCCAGTGATCGCTCGCCACAGTGCAGCCTCGTTAAAGGCACCCCTCGTCAAAAACTTCTGTCGTCAGAGGCTGGACGGACGAATGCTTTGACGAATAATGGGCCAGGCGGAGATGCGCGATAACTGCCGGCGGCTGTCACTGCCCGCGTGTCTGTCTCTGTGCGTTCCGGAACGTCACTGTCCGCGTGTCTGTCTCTGTGCGTTCCGGAACGTCACTGTCCGCGTGTCTGTCTCGTGCGTTCCGTCACTGTCCGCGTGTCTGTCTCGTGCGTTCCGGAACGTCACTGCCCACGTGTCTGTCTCTGTGCGTTCCGGAACGTCACTGTCCGCGTGTCTGTCTCGTGCGTTCCGGAACGTCACTGCCCGCGTGTCTGTCTCGTGCGTTCCGTCACTGTCCGCGTGTCTGTCTCGTGCGTTCCGGAACGTCACTGCCCACGTGTCTGTCTCTGTGCGTTCCGGAACGTCACTGTCCGCGTGTCTGTCTCGTGCGTTCCGGAACGTCACTGCCCGCGTGTCTGTCTCGTGCGTTCCGGAACGTCACTGTCCGCGTGTCTGTCTCTGTGCGTTCCGGAACGTCACTGCCCGCGTGTCTGTCTCTGTGCGTTCCGTCACTGTCCGCGTGTCTGTCTCGTGCGTTCCGGAACGTCACTGCCCGCGTGTCTGTCTCTGTGCGTTCCGTCACTGTCCGCGTGTCTGTCTCGTGCGTTCCGTCACTGTCCGCGTGTCTGTCTCGTGCGTTCCGGAACGTCACTGTCCGCGTGTCTGTCTCGTGCGTTCCGTCACTGTCCGCGTGTCTGTCTCGTGCGTTCCGGAACGTCACTGCCCACGTGTCTGTCTCGTGCGTTCCGGAACGTCACTGCCCACGTGTCTGTCTCGTGCGTTCCGGAACGTCACTGTCCGCGTGTCTGTCTCGTGCGTTCCGTCACTGTCCGCGTGTCTGTCTCGTGCGTTCCGTCACTGTCCGCGTGTCTGGCTGTCCATGGGAAGGTTGAGCGCGAGCGTCGCCGTCCTCGCCGAGGCATCTGGATCGCGGCCCCCACACCGCGGTCCGACCTGCCGAGCCAGGCGGCCAGTTTCCGCGCTCGCTCGCTCGCTCGCTCGCTCGCAAAACGCCCACTCGCTCTCTTGCTCTCGCGGAGGTCATGCCGGTGTGTGACCGGTCACGAGCCTCGATCAGCTGTTATTTGTCGCGCGCTCGCCGGCGTGTTCCGACCACGCCGCTGTTGTTCGCCCAGCTCCGCTTTACCGGACGGCGGTGAATGCGCGTACGTTCTCTGGCCTGCGGTCGGCACCGAAAAGCAGAGATCCTTGTGGTGAAAACCGTTTTAAAATTAGCCCGTGTATTAGCGCCGCTGCTAAAAGGGGAAATGCTTTTTGTGAAGTTGGTTTTGCAGATATAAATAAAGAACCATTATCCGGGCAGTGCGTTGAGTCTGCCTCCCTTCTCACGACGTTAATTTAATTTCTCTCAACGCTCAAAGTGAAAGTTTGCTTCCAGAACACAATCGAGTGGGAGGGCGGGCGGGCGGGTAGTCCAGCGAGGGAGCACCGCCGACCCCATGACTTGAATTCCCCGTGACTAAAGGTTGATGTCAGCCATTGCCTGGGATTTAATTTTAGGGTGAGGGTCGGGTGTCTGTTTTGCCCTTCCTAAAGTTTCCATTTCACAGGGGTGCGCCGGGTCAATGCTACACCCCCACTCGAGGCTGCGTTCTTGTCCCTCCCAGCACCGCTCCCATGATTGAATACCGTGGCCAGAAATGATTTAATCACATAACGAGCAATCCGATCCGTGGGCGGTCAGCACGGGCTGGTTTTAGATTGTGGCGGGAATGTGTGTGTGTGGTTAGCTCTGTCGACCGGCTGCTGTTTGCGTTTGGGGGCTGTGTTTGTGTTTGCGCGTCGTGGCTTTGGCCGTGTAAATGTTACGCGCGTGCAGTTTTGGCACGACGTGTTGCGCGTGCTGCGCGTGTCTGTAATTGTACGCCACTTACCAGTTTCTAATGCAGTCAATTAAAAGAATGAGACACCGTGGATCCAATGTTGCTCTGGGACCACGTTGTTCCTGACACCTCAGCCCCACGCTGCTCCTAGCATTAAACTTGATCCTCGAGCTGACAATAAAAGTGTCAGCCGTGCGTCTGTGAATAAATTATTCGTGATTTTTGTGAATTGTATGCGATCTAGTTTCCTTATACTTTGAAACACGTCGATGTATGTTTGTGTGTGAAACTTAATTCGCACCGTGCGTAACCAGCCGTGCTCATTGGAGGTGCGAGGGAAGGACAACAAACGAAACACAAAAAGCAGTTCTAAAGAAATGAGTTTTCAATCCAGATTTGAAAGTGCATAACTCTAGTGGCTTCCTAATATCGGAAGGAAGAGCTTTCCAGATGGCCGCAAACGCACCTGAAAGTGCACGATGCAGTGATCATCTTTGTTCTATGGCTAGCCAGTCGGGTAACAGTTCCATTGTATTCTTGGTTCTTTCGGTAAGTCACGTAGACTTTACCGAAAGAACCAAGAATATGAATCCCTGCAGTCACGAAAGCTTTAAATCGAAAGTTCCATGGTAGGCACACTGCTAAGATGCCTGCAGCGATGGATACATGTGGGTTATACTTTCAAAGTGGTGGGCCCTGTGTGGCCACAGACCTTGTGGAATTAAGTTGTGGGCCTGCCATAAAGGATCGTGTTTTGTGTGGGTTTGTCCCTGTGTGTGTTCCCCCCACCTTACTCTCTCGGCCTTTCACAGACTGCTCCCAAAATCTTCGGTGGAGACATCAAGAGCCACATCCTCCTCTTCGTTGGGAAGTCGTCCTCCGACTACAACGAGAGGCTCGACCAATTCCGCGGAGCCGCCAAGGAGTTCAGGGGGGAGGTGAGGCCCCTGCTCCCTGTGACCCCCCCCTAATTTGTTATGCCACCATGTCACCCTGGTCCCCGTGGCACCCTGGTCCCTCTTGTTACCTACCCAGGTACCATATCACCTACCACAGTCTGTGTTATGTCTTGCCTCTTTTGGAAATGTATTTGTGATGTTGACATTTTCCTTTGCTTTTGCACCTCTTTATATTCCAGTTCTGCTATTGGTGTCATGTCAGTGCACCCTCTTCGTCAGAAAATGGTCCCGGAACTACTATTGAAGTCACTCCAGTAGATCTCTTTATCTGGGCTGAGACCTGTGACTCGCTACGCCCATGAACCCAATGTAATTACAACTCGATGTATATGGGTGCTGTGGTGGTGAGATCTCGTCTACCTCGCCTGGTATGCAGGGGTTTGTGGGTTCGATCCCGACCTTGACACCTGCTGTATATTTGAAGTTTGTGTGAATTTTTCTCCAGGTCCTCCAGTTTTTACCTCCACATTTAATCAACATGCCTTTGAATGATTTGGCGGCTATAAATTTACACGTGATAAGCCACTTCGTTGAGCTATTATTTGTGGCCAAGTCACTTGTGAAAAATAGCTAATAGCTCCGTGAGCTTCAGCTGGTGAAATAAAATATTTTAATATATAGTTTTAGTTTAGTAAATCTGTGAGTCTCTGTGTAAGTCGTGTTGGGCTGAGACCTTAAACTCATCACACTTGAGAATCCGGTTTTATCACCTGCAACTAAAACCCAAATTCGGACCCCAGGCCCGAGTGGTGCTGTATCGGTGTCTGACATCAGAGCCACGTGTGTACCTCTAATGATAATCACAACAATCACTCATTGTATAATGCGCACGATTATTCATGGCTCTGAGCCAAACTCCATGTCACTTGAAAGCCAGGCGAGAGAGGTGTGGTGCCTTTAAGTCTCTTAAATGTTAGTGTACTTGGAACGCTGCTACGAATCTGCAGCGGAGGATGATGGCCACCTTCCGGACTGTGGAGGCTGCCACGCAGACACCACGCCTGGCAGCGATGGTCCTGGTCTTGTCCGTCATTTAAAGCAGTACACACATTTCCCAAAACAGCATGGGCGAGAATAATTAAGGAGGTGCAGCCAAAGGAGTGAACGTGCCAGATGAAACTGGCTCTTTTGTGCAGGTGCTGGGTGGATTGTTACTTATAAAACCCCGAGGGATGGTGACAACTTGGATTGACCGTGGCTAATTAATTTGCTCACGATCCCAGTGGGCCCCCCTGATCTCCGTGCCGCCTTTGCCCCCCCCCCTCGTGTCACTCTCCCCCCGTGTGCCGTTTCTCCCGTGCCCTGAGCAGCGCCTACACGTGCCTTCCTTCATGCCGTGTTGGCCTGCCCCTTGGTCCCATAAAAACAACAACGTGGCCGCGAGAACAACTATTATTATCCAATGACCCCCTCACCCAATCCTTCCGAGAGAAAGGGACTGATTTCCAGCCACCGTGGCTGAGATTACCATCAAGCGTTTATTGCGGTGCAAGGTGAGCGTTGCTCGTAAAGAAACGTGTGACCTGCCGTCATTCTTCTGGCTGGAGGTTGGAGGCCGCGTGCCAGGAGGGGAGGTTTCCTTGTTCTCTCGTTTTCCCCACTTATATCTTCGTGCGAAGGCGTCGTCGGGCGCGTGACACCCACGTCGTTTCTCCGATTTAAATGTCGGCCCTTAAGCGCGTGCACCCGAATGCGCATGTGAAAATGTATTACGAGTGTCTGGGAGCTCCTCGCGCAATCCAGCCCAGTTTTAAATCCAGGACGGATCGTAGGCAGGCCGACCTGAACGCTTCAGCCAGGATGTAGGAGCGAGCAGGACGCTGTAGCCGCCACTAGGAACTCAACGGCCGCCTCTCACGCGCGTGTCCCCCGTGTCCGTCTGCAGATCCTCTTCATCTACATCGATGTGGACAACACTGAGAACCTGCGCATCCTGGAGTTCTTCGGGCTGAAGAAGGAGGAGTGCCCCGCAGCACGCATCATCATGCTGGAGGAGGAGATGTCCAAGTACAAACCTGACAGCAACGACCTCAGCACGGAGAACCTCATCGCTTTCTGCAGGTCCTTCCTCAACGGGGCACTCAAGGTACTGCTCAGAGTGGTGGGGGAGGAGTTGCGGCGGTGTTAGGGGGTGGGGAATTTTGACAGCGGTATTGCTGAGTTGAGCTGCTGGGTCGGGTGGGGTTGGGTTTGCTGCTGTGAGGGAAGGGTGTTGAACAGTCACACCCTGTTCATAATAAAGGTTTCTGGGTTAGATCGCGTTATTTATAAATGTGTCGTAACCCTCCACCACCCGACAGGGCCAATCAGCAAAAAAGTGTCACGTTGACAAAAGACAATTAGTTCACTACTTTAGCCCACCGGTGTGTTGAAGAGTGAATCCACAACATTTACAGTTTGAATACGACGTTTCACTGGTAATTACATCCAGCATCATCGGGCAATTCTGGCGAATTGCGAATTCTGGCGAATTGCGAATTGCCCGATGATGCTGGATGTAATTACCAGCGAAACGTCGTATTCAAACTGTAAATGTTGTGGATTCACTCTTCAACACACCGGTGGGCTAGAGTAGTGAACTAATTGTCTTTTGTCAACGTGACACTTTTTTACTGATTGGCCGTGTTGGGTGGTGGAGGGTTACGACACATTTATAAATAACGCAATCTAACCCAAAAATCTTTGTTATGAATAATATTGGTCGCGAAAGCCTATGTGTTAAAAAGTCACACGCTCCTCTTCACACCGTCTTCCACACCTAACTGTCCACTGTTGGTTGGGCGCGGGGGAGGGAGGGCGTGGTGTGTCAGCTTGAGCCGTCTCTAACGAAACGCCTCACCCCCACCGCACAATCCCCTCCCTACTACCCCCACCCAGGCGCACCTCATGAGTGAAGACATCCCCGAGGACTGGGATAAGAACTCCGTCAAGGTGCTCGTGGGAAAGAACTTCGAGCAGATCGCCTTCGACGAGAGCAAGAACGTGTTCGTCGAGTTTTGTACGCGACCCCTCCCCCACCTCCCACACTCACACGGCATGGTGGTGGGACATCACGAGAGGTCCCGTAGTGGGGTGGTAGGTTGATACAGTGGTTAGGGTGGCACCTGGTAGGATACCACAGGAGTCCCGTAGTGCGGTGATAAGTTGGTGCAGTGGGTAGGGTGGCTTGGTGATCCAATTGAACACCCTTAAATGTGCCCCATGTGCACATACCTGCTCTTGCCCCTCCTCCCCCCCACCCCTGTGCACACCCCTGCATGCCCCAATAGGTCACACGCATGTGTAATGATACTCCACAGCGCTAAATGTCACACAACACAAATAGCGTTTTGGCCAGTGGTGCTCGGTGGACGTTTTGGGCCTTACCTGGTAAAATAAAAATAGTGTAGTTTTATTCACTCTGCAATGAGTAAATACGTGGCGTCTGGCTCTACAATGATGCTGGAGATGTACAGCGTATGCCAAGGATGTGCTTGTATCACTTTGAGCTGAATAGAACAAACAAAGCTGTATGAACGAGACCAAAGAAAAACGAGAAGCACCAACACAAACGAGATAGTAAACATGACAGTAAAAGCAATCGATTATTGAGTAAAATTGCCACCGTGAATTATAAAAAATTCTTAAAAAGCTGGAGGGGGTCGATCTTCTCAGGCCTTGCGTTTAGGATGTCAGTATGCGTCAAACAACCATCGCGTTGCATCACTCGGTTGGCTGCTGCTCACAGCTGCGCCAGCAGAGCGGTTCTGGTTTCCGACGCCGCTTTTGGCGACCGTTCCCAAGGTTTCTCCTACTTTGTAAAATTGGGACTCCTGCCGTCGATCGAGAGTTGCGCCGAACGGCATCAGCGCCAGCTGTCGTCGGGGGCCAGGCTTCGTCGCCCGTCTCGGCGCGAACCCGGGGAAGGGCGGGTGAAGGGTGGTGCGGTGAGAGCCAGCCCTTCGCCATGTGACCATGCCACTGACGGACAGCGCCATGTTTGGCTCGAGCCGCTGTTGCCGCCGCGGCCACCACTGCTGGTGGGTTTTACCGACAGCTGGGCACTGCCAGGCGCAAATTCCTGTGCGAGAGTTGTCTGCAAAGTGAGATCGATTTCATCTTAAATTGTGAGTGACGCAGCGCCAAGTGTGATATTCAGCCATAGTGCAGCCAGCCCGGTTAGTGTCGTCAGGTTCGGAGTGGAGGGTAGAGTTTGCGGTGATTGTGGTCAGTAGTGAGGGGTGGAGTGCGTTTCTGGGTAAGGGCCAAAGAGGGTGATGAGTCGGTACGCTGGCTGGTAGGAGAGTAACAATGCTTCGATTCGACTAGTCTGGTGGATTCCTACGTTCGCCATACTCTTATCGAATCATGTGACCGAGACAATATAATTTTAGCTATTGGTGGATCGATACTTGTTGGCAAATGCCGTGACACACAAGAAACGTTGAGGCTCACGGAAGTGCTGAACACTCCGGACAAGATGGAAAATAACAACGTTTACAAATGATGCAGCATCAATCTTGTGACAATAAATCCTCCTTTTGTCTGTGAGTGTTTTAGATTTAGCGTGCAGGTTGACAGATCATAACCGTGCGTTAAATTGGCTCACCCTTACAGCAGGGTATTTTATATGCCCAGTCAGATCGTGAATCTTGGCTTTTATCTCATATCCAATATTAATCCAATTTCATTTTACGTTTTACTGTAATGTGTGCTAGGTTACTGGCAAGCTGCCCTGATGTTTGAGGTTGCCGCCACATTATTTAATATAGTTTATCCTGTACAACATTTAGAGTTGCTTATAGCATTGAGATACTATATAAATCGACATTCTTATTATAATTCATGGGATTGATGGGGTGGCGAGTTAGTTACAGGCCTGGGCACCAAGTCAGGTCTTCCTGAGAGAGAGAGGTGTGTGGATGGAGCCCCCCCGAGTTGGGGTGATCGAGTTGGAACCCTGCTGAGCGACACGGCATGTGCTGTTGCCCACAGACGCCCCGTGGTGCGGCCACTGCAAACAGCTGGTGCCGATCTGGGACGAGCTGGGGGACAAGTTCAAGGAGGACGACAGCGTGGTCATCGCCAAGATGGACTCCACCGCCAACGAGGTGGACGGCATCAAAGTGCACAGCTTCCCCACGCTCAAGTTCTTCCCCGCCGCCGCCGGCCGCAAGGTGCGTCCCCGTCCGGGCCACGCCGCACCGGTTTTTTACTGGGCGCTCGCAAACACCACTTGACCGTGGTGTCCTTGTAAGGATGAGTGTCACCAGACAGGCGGGGATCGTCTCTGTGAGTGCGTGTGTGCATGTGAGTTAGCGGAGAGCGGTGGCGTAGCAGGTAGCACGTGGGTTCAATTCCCGCTTGTGGTGGACACGTGTGACGATTACCTGAACCGGTCCTGGTCCTCCCCTATGTCGACTCTGCCTAAAATGAGTACCTGGCGCGGTGTGTAAACATCGCCACTAGGGAGACGAAAGCGGCCGGGCGTGGTGTTAGCCACCCCCATTGTGTGTCGCATCGGCCTTCATAGGTGCTACTCCGTTAACGGTACTTGCTCCTACAGTCTATCCAGGCTATACGGGGGTGACCTTTACCATTGTATTTACGTGCATGTGTGCGTGTACCTCCCCCGCAGGTCGTAGACTATAACGGCGAGCGGACGCTGGACGCCTTCATCAAATTCCTGGAGAGCGGAGGCGAGGGTGGCGCCGGCGAGGACGTGAGTGGACCCCCGACTCACGACCCACGACCCACGGGCGGCAGGGTGGCGCGGTGGGAACACCTGCGCGCCCCGTAGCAAGAAAGGGCCTGGGTTCAATTCCCAACTAGGGCACTTTTCTGTGTGGAGTTTGTCTGTTCTCCTATTCTGCATGGGTGCCCGTGCATAGATGAAAAAAAAAACACACACAATGTAACTGGTATTGGCCAAAACATCCCCAATGATGAAAAATTAGCTGCAAATTACTCCATTGCAGAAACTGGCTTGGTGATGGCTTCAAGAGAATGGAGGCGGTCCCCCCCCCCGCCACCTCCAATTAGCACGGTTGGCTACGTATGGTGCGGAAGAAGTTCTGCATACATACTACCTCTTGAGACCCTGAAAATTGTCACGTTATTGAAATTTACCAAGGACTGTACATAGAATGTTTTTTGTATTATTACAGGGCCCTAATTTAAAAAGGTTAAATTTCAAAACCGTTGGGAATCTGGAAACATTATTGTAACTCCTAGCCATAGCCAACGATAAGTTGGCGAATATCGGCACCGGTCTTGGTTCTTCCCCAGGTCAGCGCTGGGGGGTGACAAGAGGCGTGGTGCTGGCCACACAGTGCAGGGAAATTCAGTTGAACCGCACTATGCTCCAACCCGAACTGACCAGCGCGCTGACGTACGGTCGGTTAACCCCAACGACCTGCGGCAGCAGCGTAGGCCGTGAGGGTTAGAGCAGACGGTGGTAATGACAAGGAGGGTCGTGCGTCTACAATGGGGGGGGGGGTCCCCCTGTGATTACCACTTGAACGGCTGGCAAACACGGAGAGGGGCGGCTGGAAGCATTGACGCTGCCACGCGCTCCTACCGCCCCATGCGGTGCAGGGATGGTTGGTGCGTGGGGGCCAGGTGGAGGGAGTTGGGGGAGGGGCCTGGCGAGGAGCACGAACTGGGGGGAAGTGGGGATATTGGGATATGGGGGGATAGGTGAAAGGAGGGGGGGGGGCCTGGCGAGTGGGGCGCGTGGGGCCATTCCTTGTGCGTGTGACAACACGAACCCATTCCTGAGCATGTGCGCTCGCGTATGTGCTTGTATGGAGTCGACTCGGTGTTTATCAAATCGCTTGTGCGGTGTGTAAACATCGGCAGACATGGGTCAGGCGTGGTGCTGACCACACCAGACCCTCACATTCCATGCCCGCCTTCATAGGTGCTACTCACGAATAGCACTTGCTCCAATGGCATGTATGTGGTTTACATGGGGGATCGTGTGTGCACGTGCCTGTCTGTGTCCATATGTGGCTTGTGCCTGGGCCTTAAATTGCTGTAGATCTCAGAATTAGTTCTGCGATGTCCGACTCCATGGGCCGTTCTGTAACGTGAAGTTTGGAATGGATTCTTCATCTCATCTCTTGACACCGATAGCACAATCGGGGGGGGGGGGTGAAGTTGGCGAATATGTAAAAATAATTCAATTAAATCTTAGGACTGGTCAACAGTGCTGTTGAACGGGCGTCGAATGCCACTGACAATGACCTTCCTATGCCCCTTAACCCCCCCTTAACCCAGGAGCTGGAGGATCTGGAGGAGGTGGAAGACGACAGTGACGACGTGGAAGCAGAGGACACCATTAAAAAGGACGAGCTGTAGGCCCCCACGGGGCCCCCCATTTTGTAATGAACCACCCTGTCGTGTGTATGTAAATGTTAGGCCATGGATGTCAAATGCAAAACCCACACCCCTCTCTTACTGTGCTGTGCTTCAACCTGTCCAGCCTAGGCCCTTAGTGCCTGGGAATCGTCGCCACCACCACCGTCCCCCGTGACGCCGTCGACCTGGTGTCGGGTCTCTCCGTTGCTTTTCCCCCGCTGGGCTGGCAAGACGCGTCGCCAAGCCACGGTCTGGCCCCTGTGCCCACCACGTGTTTCCCCGCGTGGCGTCGGAGATGCCTCCTTGTAAATTAATTCCACGGATTGGGCGTGTGGACGCAGAGTGTCTAGAGCTCGCGGAAAAGCCTCGGCGCCCCATCCCGTCTGCTTTAAGAGAGGAAGAAATCCGAGTCTCTTTTTTTTATTTGTACTGATTTTCTGCGGGGTCTGTTTTGGGGTATGCCTTCCACCAGGTAATTATATTTTTTATGATTAAATGTAAAAATGTGAACGCTCTACGAAGTGTGGGCCACGTCTGGTGCCCGTATCCCAATCCGCGGCCTCCCTGGGCATTCCCACCGATTCTTTTCGATTTAACAATCCCTCAATCCCCTCGAGCTTTCAATCCCTTGGCCTCTGTGGTTGCCACTGCCTGTGGCTGGTTGAGTGAAACGCCGCGTGCTTCATATTTTGTAAACATCTCTCTGCTTTCCCTTACAATCGAGTGAAAGTTTAACGCGCGCGGTGTTCCACACGATCGGCTGCTGACCCTGCTGATGGATCGTAGTGGAGCCCTTCTCTAGGCCCTCCAGGCGTTGTTTGGTGCCACATAAAAACAAATTACTGCGGAGTGGAATGCTCCACGCAGCTCCATATCTGCTCCACCCCGGAGGATGAGGTGCGGGGAAGACGCGGGCCTACATGGAGGCAGCGTTTGGCTGCTAATTTAACAAGTTGGACTAATATAAAACTCGCTTACTTACCCCGTCTCCCCGTGCTGCCCCCTCGCTCACTGCGCCTCTCTTGTAAACTTTGTAACAGCGCAGAAACTTTCTGACTAGGTTGCGGGTGTTGTGTGTTCATTCTGGCTGTGCCGTTTGTCCAGGTGTGTTCAGGGATGTGTGAGGGTGTGTCTTTGCGCTTGTTTGTGACTGTACCTCCGTGCTTGTACACACGTGTGTGCGTGTGTCTGTACGTGTCCCTGTCTTTGTACCAGGTGCGTCTGTGTGTGTGTGCGCGCCACATTGGCCCGTGTGTACCCGTGCGCGTGTACATGGCAGTAACTTGAGGCGGGTTACGTCGTTGTAGGGAGCGTGGGGGGGTTGGGGTGGGGGTCGCTGTTCGCGATGCAAATAAAAGGGAACAGCAACTACGACATCACGCGTCCCGCTTCTCGTGCTTTCTCGCCGGGGTTTCAATTGCCAGGGTTTGATTTCACGTGACTGTGTTTCTCCCAGTTTTACATATCGCTTGGTGTCACTGATCACGTGGTTTGTGTTCCACAGTGGTGGTTTTATCTCGCGGTTTATTGCCAAATCGTCCACGACGCACCGGACCAGACCTCGTCGGGTCTCGGAAGCGACGTCTGATTGAGCCTGGACTGGCCCCACACACAGGTGTGGTGGCCCCACACACAGGGGCGGTGGCCCCACACACACAGGTGTGGCTGCTGTGAGGGCACGTGGTGTTGTGCCACAGGGCAGTGCAGAAAAAGCCATTGTTGGGCTGTTCGTCCCTACTCCAACGTCTGTTGGGTCTCTGCCTTCACTGACCAAGCCTCGGGGGAGACACGCGAGGGCCTCGTCTGGCCTGGCCTAGAGGAGAAAGATGCCCGATGGTTTGAATGAACGGGGATTTGGTTTATGCAAACAGTCGGCCGAGCTGAACGCTGTTGCTCTTGTAAGCGAGTCAGAATCTTTATTTAGACTGGAGGAATCCGATTAGTTACGACTCTTTTTCACAGATGTCCAGTATGGGGGGTTGGTCAGCAACTTAAAACGGAAAACAAAAAACAACGCTAGGAGTGCAAAATAGAGAAAAGGGTGAGCTAGTCACTATTCAAGTAAATTATGTAAGTCCGATTATTTATCTACTTTTGGGCAAGGCAGCAAAAACAACCAAAACGGTCCCAGACCACATCAAGATAAAACACGGTAAATAAAAAAAATGGGACCTGTAATATTGAACTATCGATACACGGGTACGAATCGCATTTATAAAATCATCATCGTGTCGAGAGCTTCGCCGTGAAAAGGAGACGGGAGAGGTCCAGGATCGGAGCTCCGCGCGCAAAGAAGCCATCGCGCCCACCGTCATCGCTTCAGTTGCAGAGCTAAAACCCACGACCCTCCCCAAGGCTTTGCAACCATTTCATTGTTGAACTGAACACAGATTCCCGAAGCTCAGGTCTCCCTTTTGCAGCAACAAAAACAAGCGCGCATTGTCTCGACGGACTCTTGGCATCGCACTGCACTGCAAAGCCGGCCCACCCGAGTTCGATCCCTGGCTTCACGGCAAGAGTGAAGTCACAGCTGGCGCTGGGCACCCCCGCCCCAACTCGAGTCGATTCTGCCGTGAATGAGTTTTACGAGACGTCGGCCACCGGGAAGACGAAGGCGGCCGGGCGTTGCCGCTGGCCGCACCACCATCGACCAAACACGCCGGCTCGTAGCTCGCACCAGCAGTGCCGAGGCTGCTCGTGGTGGGGTGTTGGGTCGAGCTGGTGGAGCCTGGGTTGAGTGTTCTGGTTGTCGGGTGAGCCGGAAATCGCTTGGAGCGTCGGTAAGAAACTTGCGAACGTAGGCGATGCAGTTGAGTTTTGGTGACGAATGTTCCACCCCATCCCTCCCACACTTTTTAGTCCACTGCCCACGACCTTGCCCAGCGGACCGACGACTTGCGATGGTCCTCGCATTCATTCATTCGTGCTGCCAGGTGGGGCGAACGGAGAGATTTAAGAACCTTGCCCGCACGCACCCACCCCCCCCCCGCTTATTGCATCCAGTGCCGCGCCAGGCAATCGAAGCAAACCAGTGGACTGCGTGGGGGGCGAGGGGGGTTGGCTTGGTTTATGTACGTTGAATTTCTTTCGCACCGTCGTACGTTGCCAACCGTGCTAATCGGAGGTGCGGTGTGCATGACCTCCATGACCCCCCCCCCCACCGACGTTTTTGATCGCAACACAAACGGTCTCCGCCTGATGAAGACCGCCTCTGTCGCGATCGAAACGTCGTGGGTTATTTTTGCTTTTATTTGAGAATTTATTTTTCATTTAAATGTTATTTTATTTCTTATTATCTATCTACGTGACTTTACCGAAAGAACCAAGAATATGGATAATATTGGTCGCGAAGGCCTACGACGTGTTCGACTGCCACGTGGGTGTGCCCCCCCCCCGAGACACCAAACTCTCATGAGGCCACCCATCCCGGTGGGGCCGCACCCACCCGGGAATGAGTGTCGAGACTCCGTGTGGCTTTCTTGAGTACACAAAGAGCGCGAGGATGATTATTCATGATTATTATTGGAACAGAATAACTTAAAACAAAGCTCTTGGGGGTGGGACCCACGACCCCCCTCGCCCCCCCCCCCCCCCGCCGACATCCCTCATCCCCGCCTACAGCCGCTAAATTGAGCGAGGAACGCAGTCAACACGAACCCCGGACCCCCTGGGTCTCAGCGGAGGGGCTCCTAGCATCTCTCAAAGTGCAGCACCTAGCCTGGCCACGACAGCATTGATGGTGGCAATGTGCAAACTTGGAATTTTGTCCACGCTGGGGGGATAGGGGTAGTGTTCGTGTTACGGGGGGGGGGGTAACGTTCAGTGTTAGGAGGATTACGGTAGTGCTCGGGCTAGCGATAGGTGTACTGTTAGTCGTAGCATTCGGGGTGGTGATAGGGGTTGTGGATAGGGTTCAATTTATTTATATTAACATTGCGTCACGTGATATTAAAATACATCTGCGCGCATGATGATGATGATGATGAAATGGATCACACTCACCAACAACAACAACCGCCGTTCACCACCACCACCACTACCACCACGTGGCGGTGACGTCTCGACGGCGCTCGTGCCATGCTAGGTGCACTTTGAGGCCACGTGAAGTGTCGAAGGCCCCCTGGCAGGAGGTCACGGAACGGACCCAGGTGCCATGGGTTTGACTGACCGAGATGGCCGGTAGATGCACCGGCCCCGCTCCCCACTGCACAAACTTGCTGCGGGTTGAATGTTTTTTCTTTCCGCCCGAGCGCTCGTTGCTGTGAGCTCTCGCTCCTCTGCCCTCCGCTGTTGCTGGAGGGCGACTGCCTCCAACTCCCCTAGTAGCTTCCTTCACGAGCCTCTCCTCCACAGTCATCGGCAAGTCCACTCGGCTCCGCATCCTCCTGCACCGCATCAGCTGCGCCCCTTCTCCAGCCCCGTGCCGTGTCCGTTTAAGCTCCCCTCTATCCGGCCGAACAACAGAAGCCGCTTGGGCGTGCGGTGTCTTCTGGGCATGGCGAGCTCACCGTGCTCATCCTCACAGCGCTCACCCTCACTCACCCTGACCGCGCTCACCCCACGAAACCACATTCACAGCTTTATTGACGACGAACCTCTCCCCCACAACACCCTCCCACCACTCGTACTCACCCCACGAGCTCACCACCCTCAACCCCTCCCCTCTCCTCCCCTCCCCTCCGGACCCCCCGCGGCGTTCGCGCTCCTCTCGCTCCATCATCGGCGTGGAGTTCGTGCCGCCCTCCCCCACCTCCCTCCCCCCCATCTCCCTCCCCCCACTTCCCTCCCCCTCCCCCCGTTCTGGCCCCCCTATAAGTAGGGGATCTGACCCCGCCTGCCCGGGAGAGGGGAGCTAGGGGGTGCGGGGCAGCGAGGATCGTGCAGAGGAGACGAGAGGAGAGCGAAGAGCGACTCGACGTGCTCTCGGAGCGACGCTTTTGTGATTTGTTGTTTTTGTTACTCTGCTCGGAATTTTATTTTTTATAAAAACAAAAAAAAATTCGTCGGAGTCAATTCCCGCAGCAGCAGCGGCGGCGGCGGCTGCGGGAACAGAAAGAGCAGCGGCAACACAAGGATCGGCAGTGTCATCAGCAGGACCATCAACATCAGCATCAGCAGGGACATCAATCACAAACAGCAGCGCAATTATCAGCGTGCTGCAGCAACCCAAGGAAGTGGGAGCAGCAGCGGCAGAATCATTATCTGCAGAGTCATCCTAATCAGCAGTAACATCATCAGCAGCAGCAGCAGCCGCTGTAGAAGCGAGAGGATCAAGTGCATCAGCAGTCACAGTTCTCATCATCATTATCGGCAGGTGAGATGGCGCTCTACCTGGGCGTGCGGCAGTACCACGTCATCGGGGACTACGGCGCGCGCTTCTCGTTCCTGAGTCGCGGGGGGGACTCGGGACCCAATTCCCCGGGGGGCAGGAAGAAGACCAAGGGGACCGGTTCTCGCCGCGGCTCGGTCGCCTCCTCGTGCGGCCCCGAGCGCGCCGACTCCCCCGCGCCGCTCAAGAGCGTGCGATTCACGGCCGACGTGGAGTTCCTTGACAGCGTGAGGCAGGGAGACGTGGAGCAGGTGGAGGCCTTCGTCAAGGGCGGGGAGCTCTCCCTCGACACCATCAACACGTCCGGTAGGCGCCTCTCCTCGCCCGGCAGAAACCACGCCTCGTGTGCCCGAGCCTCGCGTTTAGATCCATCATCAGCGTTCTCGGCTCTCCGTGTGCCTCTAACGCAGAGCCTCGCCTCTAGAACCATCATCAGCGTTCTCGGCTCTCCGTGTGGCTCTAACGCAGAGCCTCGCCTCTAGAACCATCATCAGCGTTCTCGGCTCTCCGTGTGCCTCTAACGCAGAGCCACGCCTCTAGAACCATCATCATCAGCGTTCTCGGCTCTCCGTGTGCCTCTAACGCAGAGCGACAACCGCGTCTCGTGTCGGGGACGCGGCTGCAGAACCGGTCTGAGGCAGCGGCACCGCGGCTCTAAATCAGGAGCGGCAGACGTCATTGAGGCGCTGCTAAATTTAAGTGCGAAGATCGCAAGTTCCCCCGTTAGCGAGACGGGAAACTACCTCGCGATCACTGCTGAATACACGACAACAGCATCATCATCACCGCCGCCACCATCATCGCCGCTATCATAACCATCATCAATACATACACGCATCTAAAATCCATCCAAAGCGACTAATCCACACACACAAAAATAAAGTGAATACAAAAAACAAACCACGACTTTTCGATCGCAACACCGCTTGTGTTGCGATCGAAACGTCGTTGATTTAATTAGATTTTAAAATTATTATTTTTATTATTTGTATTCACTTTATTTTTATTGTTATTTTTCTATCTACGTGACTTTACCGAAAGAACCAAAGAATATGAATTCCTGCTGTCACGAAAGTTTTAAGTCAAAATTTTTTTACGCCACACGACTAAACCACAACTCTAACTTATACCATTTACACATTTAGCGGCGACTTGGGGAGGCCTTCATCCAGCAGTGGATTTGCCATGGCTGCTGCTGCTGTTGCTGATGATGATATCAAGCATCTGATCGTGACGTAATCATCTTTGTAGTTTCTCACTCACGAAACCCAGGCGACACCACTGCACCACGGAGCATCTTTGCGCGTACGAGTTTGCGAGATGCCCCATCAGCGAGAAGCCATGCGGGCACGTAGTGGATAGGGGGGGGGGGGGGGTCTTCGTTGTGTAGTCATTGGTTGGCCGGGCTAAGGCCGTCAACCGAATCGGAACGTTGTCACCACCCCAGACCCATGCGCCCATCTCTTTTACAGATGGAAAATTAAGCGCACGAGCCGCAGCGATGCGACTGTGGCCATGCAACACAAACTACGGACCGCATAATGAGCCCATAGAGGCACAGAGGGATGCGTGAAGGCTCCTCGAGATACACAGAGATGCACGGAGTTAGAATAAAGACAAATCACTGTGCGCTTGTGGCCATGCAACCAAAACTATGAACCGCAGGGTAAAGCCACTGTGATCTGCGCTCCTTCAACGGAGGAGGATCAGCAAAAAAACGACATCAACTCTTCTATCCCTCTCTCTCTCTGTGCTGAAGCCCTCTCGTTATGACCAGCAGCAGACCTCGGCATTGGCAGAGGGCTCTGAATATCATGCTGCTGCTGGTGCCGTGCGCAAGGGGAGAATAGAAACCGGATTCGAACCCAGGCTCCCAGTGGAAGCTGGCAAAACAAATATTCGATAGCAGCTTCCTTAGAATTGACGCCGCTCACTCAGCTCTGGCGAGTTCGCATGTGTGAGTGTATGCTGAACTTCTTTCGCACCGTACGTAGCCGATCGTGCTTATCCGAGTTGCGGGGAAAGGGCATCAAACTTAAACACAAAAAGCAGTGCTAAATAAATTCATTTTCCCTCCTAGTCGATTTAAAAGTGGATAGCTCCAGTGGCTTCCGGACATCGGAAGGAAGAGCGTTCCAGACGACCGCAAAAGCGTATCTGAAAGCGCGCGATGCGGTGCCCTGTCTTAGTTCGAAACTTTACAGAACATCATCATAATTCAAACCCGGCACATTCAACCTGTCCGTGGCCTCAACGTGAAACATACGCGGTCGATGCGTTACGAGGGCGCACAAAGCGAAATCGCGTAGACTAGAGCGCGCAGCCACGATGGACCGCACGTGACAGCGCCTGCCGAGTGCGCGCACATTACAGACTAACTGCGCGCACAGCACACCCACGGTACGCACACGCTACGCACTAAATTGTCCCACGTCCGATCGCATAGCCGCATGTGGAGTGAATTCAAACCGCATAGTGTAGCGGATTTTGTGTGGAACTAGGTAGGTCAAGCCGCATATGCGCGAAATGGCACAACGCGAGCCCGAAATGAAGAGAGGGACACCTGCAATAGGTGACGTTTTGGGAACTTGCCCTTCTTCATAGCGCTCCTATAACCGACTTAGAACGCAATTGGGCCCAGCTCTCTAGCCCTCTTGCAGAGCATCATTAAGAGTGGCCATCCACTCACGCTCGCCTCGCGAAGGTTAAAGCGCAGTGCAGAAACCGCTCTCGCTGGCCACGGTCGCTAAGTCCTCCGCCTGAGCGCGCCTGCATTGCGGGTTCGTAGGGGGAGCGGTGGCGCGGCGGTTAGCGCACTACGCGACGATACCCGGCAAAGACCCGAGTTCGATTCACGCTCACGGCCAACATCGGTGACTGATATCTGAAGCAGGTCTCGGGCCTCCCCTGGGTCGACTCAGACTCACGTGAGTAGCCTGGTGCGGCTCGTAAGCATCGGCGCTGGGGAGACAAAGGCGGCCGGGCGTGGTGCTGGCCACCCACCCCCTCGTGTGCCGTGACGACCTTCACAGGTTGCTCGCTGACAGCACTTGCCCCAGCGAGCGGTCTGTTCAAGGCTATACGGGGGGGGTGGTCTCTGCCTTTATACAATTCGTACACGCGGACGCGAGAGAGTGAGCGACACGCGGGTGACCCCCCCCCCCCGCTCGTGACAACCCCACGTGTACGCAGGCATGGCGGCGCTGCACGAGGCGTCTCTGCGTGGCCACGTGGAGGTGGTGGAGGCGCTCCTGCGAGGGGGGGCACGGATGGAGCTGCGCACCGAGGGGGGGGTCACGGCCCTGCACCTTGCCTGCTCGCAGGGCCACACGGCCGTCATCAGGTAGGCGCGGAAGCCCTCGCGCAAATCGGGGAGACCGTCGTGGGCTCCCGTCATGGGAACGGGGAATGTCCATCGGACACCATCGGTATAAGCACCAGTATCGTTGTCACCTTCGACATCATCATCATCAACAGCAGCAGCAACAACACCACCACGTTATCAGTAATCTAATAATCATCAGTGGTGTGGACGAGAAGTCTCCCTGGTGCTGCCCCAAGTCGTGGAGCCAACAGCCGCTCCATCATCATCATAACGCCCCACTTACACCTCCTCACTCCCCACCTACACCTCCTCACTCCCCATCTGCACCTCCTCACTCCCCACCTACACCTCCTCACTCCCCACCTGCACTTTCTCACTCCCCACCTGCACCTCCTCACTCCCCACCTACACCTCCTCACTCCCCACCTGCACCTCCTCACTCCCCACCTGCACCTCCTCACTCCCCACTTACACCTCCTCATTTGTGCCCCCCTTACCCCCCCCCCCCCCCCCACTACGTAGACATCTTCTCCGGCAGGGCGCGTCCCCCGTGGCGCTGTCCGAAGGCGGCGACCTCCCCGAGGACCTCCTGCCCCGGGGCCGCTCCGACATCCGGCAGATGCTGCGCGCGGCGCGCAGGGGAGTCTTGCCTGACGACTAAAGGGTCGCAGGGACCCCCCCTCCCCCCACACGTGCCCCCCCTCAACCCCCCTCCCCGGCGTGAGGGGTGAACCCCTGCGAGCAGGGGGCCAGCCGCGTAAGTGGAGCGCGTTGAGGGACCCGGGTGAACTCCGCTCAGGGGATCGGTTGAACCCCGAATTGAGAAATCGGATCGAGGGTTTCAGATCCGGGATGAGGATCTCGGGCCCAAGTCCAGCGTGAGGATCGCGGAGTGGAGTGGAGAGATGACTGGAATCCACGGACTCAGAATCGCGCGGCTCGAATTTACAAGAATCGGACGCGAAATCTGGATCAAGGACTCCTCGGATCGAAGGACTCGGGAATTCTGGGCACGGATCGAGAATTCGTATTCAGGACCCCTGTGGGTCCCCAGCTGCCAGTGGAGATCCCGAGAGGATCCTCCTGAGTTCCAGGGGGGTCCCTGCACCCCCCCCCCTCGCCCCCTCTTTCCCAAGGCCCACCGCCTCAAGCCTCACCCATACCCCTCATCGGGGGGTGAATCACCCCCGCCACCCCACCCCCCCCCCCTGTAGCTGCGTCGCGTATATATTTTTATACAGGGCTGGAGATTGTGAATGTTTGTGTCATTAATGTCTCCGTAATTTTAAATAAAATCGCTTTAATTCAGCCGAGGGTTGAGCGGGCGGAATGTGAGTGCCGTTGTTGAGGGGGGTGGTGGGGGGGGGGGGGCAGATGAGTGAGTGGGATGCTTACAAAGACAAAGATCTCCCGTGTAGCCTACACAGGCCGCTGGGGCAAGTCCTGGCCACTCACAGACGCACAAAGACACACCACCCCCCCCCACCCGAGTAGCATTAGTAGACTGCTGGGGCATCTGCTGTGAGCTTGTACCGAATGAAGGCCGGAACGACACGGCACACGAGGGAGTGGGTGGCCAGCACCACGCCCGGCCGGCCGCCTTTGTCTCCCCAGTGGCGATGTTTACACACCCCGCACCAGGTACTCATTTGAGGCTGAATCTACCTAGGCGAGCCCCATAACCGGTTCAGATGATGGTCATTGGCGTTGGCCGTAAGTCGAACCCGGGGCAAAGCGCAGTGCACTAACCGCCACACACGCACACACACACACGACAAAAGCCGCAATTCTCCAGAAAGTGGTGACGTCCCCGCGGCGCTTGTGCCAGGCTAGGTGCACATTGAGGCCACGTAACGTGGCTGACAGATACAGCCACGGCGCTCCCCCGTCCCGCGGGCGGGGGAGCAGCGCCGCCTGGCGGCCGCGACGGGCAAAGCGCCTCAACCACGACCCCTGACTCCCCCTCTACCCCCCTGACTCCCCCTCTACCCCCTGACTCTCTCTACCCCCCTGACTCCCCCCCTCTACCCCCCTGACTCTCTACCCCCCTGACTCTCTCTCTACCCCCCTGACTCTCTCTCTACCCCTGACTCTCTCTCTCTACCCCCCTGACTCTCTACCCCTGATTCTCTCTCTACCCCTGATTCTCTCTCTACCCCCCTGACTCTCTCTCTACCCCCATGACTATCCCTCTACCCCCCTGACTCTCTCTCTACCCCCCTGACTCCCCCTCTACCCCCCTGACTCTCTCTCTACCTCCCTGACTATCCCTCTACCCCCCTGACTCTCTACCCCCTTGACTCTCTCTCTACCCCTGACTCTACCCCTATCACGAGCACTGCACACCAATGCCGTAATTATAATAAATATTGGGGGGGGGGGACACATCACCCCCCAATATATTTCTATAAAATAGTTTTCTGTTGATATGATTGTGGTTATGGTTGTACTTTATCAATCCCGAATCTCTGCTATTACATAACATGAAACAAGAAAAGGTAAAAAAGAAAAACACAGCAATGTAAATACCATACACTATTAGACATTATTGTAAAAAAATATATAAAAAGTCCATCCTATGTGTTAGTGAAATTTTAAATATTTTAGTCAGGAAATTCGTTTTCAAATTTGATGTTTTTTTCTGGGGGGAGGGGGGGGAGACACACCCCCAGACCCCCTAGAAGATCCCCCACAATGTTGACTCCATGGCTACGGCCTTGACCCCACTCCTAACAAGCTGCGGGTGTGAAGGTACCCCCATCCTATCGCTACCCCCTCGCTCCACCCTTTCCTCTAATCCCACCCCTTCCCCTGAACACTACCCCCCTCCCCTAACCCTACCCCCTTCCCCTGAACACTACCCCCCTCCCCTAACCCTACCCCCTTCCCCTGAACACTACCCCCTCTCCTAACTCTACCCCCCTCCCCTAACCCTACCCCCTTCCCCTAACCCTACCCCCTTCCCCTGAACACTACCCCCTTCCCCTGAACACTACCCCCCTCCCCTAGCCCTACCCCCCTCCCCTAACCCTACCCCCTTCCCCTAACCCTACCCCCTTCCCCTGAACACTACCCCCTTCCCCTAAACACTACCCTCTCTCATAACCCTACCCCCTTCCCCTGAACACTACCCCCCTCCCCTAACCCTACCCCCACGCTACCCTCAGGCACGACAGCTCCCTCCTGTCACAAGCGCACCTCAGTCTTCCCCTGCCACAGTCCCTGCCCCCAACAGTAACCCCCCCCCACACTTCCCCCCACTAACCCCCCCCCCCCCACACTTCCCCCCACCAACCCCCCCCCCTCGTCTCCCGAAAGCGCTTGTTCCGTGTCGCAAGGTTTCTCGTAATCAGACCCGCGACGCACATGGGCACAATGACACACACACACTCACAACGACACACACACTCACAATAACACACACATACTCACAATAACACACTCACAATGACACGCACACTTACAATGACACACACACTCACACAATGGTACACACACACTCGCAATAACACACTCACAATGACACACTCACAATGACACGCACACTTGCAACGACACACACACTCACTCACACAATGATACACACACACTCACAATGACACACACACAATGATACACACACACTCACAACGACACACTCACACTCACAATAACACACTCACAATGACACACACACTTACAATGACACACACACACACTCTCACACAATGATACACACACACTCACAATAACACACTCACAATGACACACTCACAATAACACACTCACACTCACAAGAACACTCACACTCACAATAACACACTCACAATGACACACACACTTACAATGACACACACACACACTCACACAGGCACACACACGCACACAGGCACACACACAGGCATACACGCACACACACTCACACAATGATACACACACACTCACAATAACACACTGACAATGACACACTCACAATGACACACACACTCACAATGACACACACACTTACAATGACACACACACTCACAACGACACACACATACTCACAATAACACACTCACAATGACACGCACACTTACAATGATACACACTCACACAATGATACACACACACTCACAATAACACACTCACAATGACACACTGACAATGATAAAAAGATAAACAAAGATCCCTCGTATAGCCGTAACAGACTGTAGGGGCAAGTGCTGTTAGCGAGCACCTTTGAAGGCCGGAACGGTACACGAGGGGGTGGGTGGCCAGCACCACGCCCGACCGCCTTTGTCTCCCCAGTGGCGATGTTTACACACCGCACCAGGTACTCATTTCAGGCTGAGTCGACCTAGGGGAGGCCCAGGACCGGTTCAGAAAATCGTGAGCGGGAATCGAACTCGGGTCGCCGGGTTCAGAGCGCAGTGCGCTAACCGCTACACTACCGCCCCCCACATTCACATTCACAATGACACACACACACTCATAATGACACACACACACTCACAATGACACACACAAACTCACAATGACACACACACACACATAGTGACACACACAGTTACAATAACACACTCACAACGACACAATGACACACTCACAATAACACACTCACAATAACATACTCACAATAACACACACACACACTCACAATGACACACAACACTCACAATGACACACACATTCACAGTGACACACACACTCACACAATGACACACTCACAATAACACACACTCACAATGATACACACACACTCACAATAACACAAAGATAAAGACAAAGACAAAGATCCCCCATATAGCCTTAACAGACTGTAGGGGCAAGTGCTGCTAGCGAGCACCTATGAAGGCCGGAACGGTACACGAGGGGGTGGGTGGCCAGCGCCACGCCCGACCGCCTTTGTCTCCCTAGTGGCGATGTTTACACACCGCACCAGGTACTCATTTGAGGCTGAGTCGACCTAGGGGAGGCCCGGGACCGGTTCAGATAATCGTCACTGGTGTTGGCCGTGAGCGGGAATCGAACCCGGGTCGCCAGGTTCATAGCGCAGCGCGCTAACCGCTACACTATCGCTCCCCACTCACAATAACACACTCACAATGACACACACACTCACAATGACACACACACTCACAATGACACACACACTCACACAATGATACACACACACTCACACAATGATACACACACACTCACACAATGACACACACACAATGACACACACACTCACAATGACACACACACTCACAATGACACACACACTCACAATGACACACACACACTCACACAATGATACACACACACTCACAATAACACACACACTCATAATGACACACACACAATGACACACACACACAATGACACACACACTCACACAATGACACACACACTCACAATGACACACACACAATGACACACACACTCACAATGACACACACACTCACACAATGATACACACACTCACAATAACACACACACTCACACAATGATACACACACACTCACACAATGACACAACAACAACAACAACCGCCATTCGCCACTAAGTGGCGGTGACGTCACCACGACGCTTGTGCCAGGCTATGTGCACCCTGAGGCCACGTGAAGTGTCGAACGCCCGCTGGCAGGAGGTCACGGGGCAGACCCAGGTGCCACGGGTCGACTGACTGAGATGACTGGCTGATGCACCACCTGTGCCCCCTACTGTGCCAACCTGCTGTGCTTTAGCCACCCGGCGCTCCGCTCGCTGTTGTGAGCGTCGCTCCTCCGCCCTCCGTTGTTGTTGGAGGGCGACTGCCTCCAACTGCCCAGTAGCATCCTTCACGAGCCTCCTCCACAGAGGCCGATCTTGACACCGCTGGTACCAGTCATCGGCAAGTCCACTCAGCTCCACGTCCTCCTGTACCACATCACTCCATCTCTTCTCTAGCCCGTGCCGCGCCCGCTTAGCCCCCTCAATCCGGCCAAACAAAAGCTGTTTCGGCATGCGGTGGCTGGGCATGCGGGCTACATGACCCAGCCATCGCAGCCTTGCCTGCCGGAGGAGCTCACCGATGGGACCCTGCCCAGATCTTTCAAGGATTTGTGAGCTCCTCACACAATCCAGTCTGGTTAAACCCAGGATGGATCGTAGGCAGGCCAGCCTAAATGTTTCTAACCGGCGAAGATGTTCCATTAGGGGGGTCCACGTTTCGCAAGCGTAGAGAAGGGAGGGAATGATCGTGGCCGAGAAGACCTGAAGCTTAGTGCGGAGCGACAGACCAGGTAGCTTCCACACAGCGTTACGCAACCGATGAAAAGATATTGCCGCTCGACTGATTCGGAGTGAGACCTCTGCTGTTAAACTGGTGCCAG